CAGCCTTATCCAAAGCAATGAATTCAGATTCCATTGTGGAGCGAGCAATACATGTCTGCTTGGAAGATTTTCAAGAGACAGCTCCTCCACCAAGTATGAATACATAACCACTCATGGATTTTACATCATTTGACCCGATGATCCAATTTGCATCACTATATCATTCAATCACAACAGGATATTTATTATAATGCAATGCATAATGTTATGTCCATTTTAGATAACCCAACACACGTTTCATAGCCATCCAGTGAGTTTGATTCGGATTACTAGTGTACCGACTAAGTTTACTAATAGCACATGCTATATCTGGTCGCGTGCAATTCATAATATACATCAAACTTTGCAACACTCTGGCATATTCCAATTGAGAGTCACTTTAACCTTCATTCTTTTTAAATGTACAACTTAAATCAATTGGAGTTTTGACTACATTGAAATTCAAGTAAATGAACTTATCCAATACTTTTTCAATATAATGAGATTGAGATAATGCTAGTCCCTAGGGAGTTTTGATAATCCTGACCCCTAAGATCAAATCAACAACTCCTAAGTTTTTCATATCAAACTTGTTGGACAAAATGCGCTTAGTAGCATTTATATCGTCAATTTGTTTACTCATTATTAACATGTCATCAACATACAAACAAACAATGACTTCATGATTCATAACGTTTTTAATGTAAACACATTTATCACATTCGTTAACCTTGAATCCATTTGCCAACATTATTTGATCAAATTTAGCATGCCATTGTTTGAGTGCTTGCTTGAGTCCATAAAGTGACTTCACAAGTCTGCACACTTTCTTTTCTTTACCAGGAACTATAAACCCTTCAGGTCGTTCCATGTAAATTTCTTCCTCTAACTCTCCATTTAAGAAGGCTGTCTTTACATCCATTTGGTGGATTTTAAGATCATGCACTGCTGCTAGTGCTATTAACATCCTAATTGATGTTATCTTTGTTATTGGAGAGTATGTGTCAAAGTAGTCAAGACCTTCTTTTTGTCTGTACCCTTTGACTACCAGTCTATCCTTATATTTCTCAATAGTCCCATCAGGTTTCATTTCCTTTTTAGAGATCCATTTTGATCCTAAAGGTTTATTTCCTGGAGGAAGATCAGTCAATTCCCAAGTGTGATTGCTTAAAATTGATTCAATCTCACTATTGACTGCTTCTTTCCAATAAGTTGACTCTGACGAAGACATAAATGCTTTAAATGTTTGAGGCTTATTTTCAAGCAATAGTGCTACAAAATATGGTCCGAAAGAAACAGATTTTCGTTGTCGAGTACTTCATCTAGGTTCCTCACTAGTTAGAATATTTTCCATTGATTCTTCTCGTGGTCGTTTAGGTCTTTCACTTGTTGACTCACATTCAATTTATACGGATAAATTTTTTTCAAAAAACTCTGCATTATCTGATTCAATTATCGTATTAACATGAATCTCAGGATTATCAGATTTGTGAACAAAAAATCGACAAACTTTACTATTCACAAGATACCCAATAAAGACACAATCTATTATTTTGGGTCCAATTTTATCCCTCTTAGGTAAAGGAACCTCTACCTTGGCTAAACACCCCCACACTTTGAAATATTTCAAGTTGGGTTTTCTTCCTTTCCACAACTCATACGGAATTGATTGCATTTTTCGATGGGGTACTTTATTGAGTATTTTATTAGATGTAAGGATGGCTTCCCCCCAAAGATTTCGCGGTGAACCAGAATTGATCATGAAGGCATTCATCATTTCCTTTAATGTTCTGTTCTTCCGTTCTGCCAAACCATTTGACTGTGGTGTATAAGGTGCATTAGTTTGATGAATACTACTATATTCCAAACATATTTCTGCAAAATGAGATTCATATTCTCCACCCCTATCACTCCGAATCATTTTTATCTTTAGATTCAATTGGTTTTTCACTTCATTTTTGTACTGCTTAAATGCATCAATTGCTTAATCCTTACTATTAAGCAAATATACATAAGAAAATCGAGTGCAGTCATCAATAAAAGTTATACAATACTTTTTTCCACCACGAGATGGTGTTGACTTCATATCCCATATATCTTTGTGAATTAAGTCTAAAGTTTTAGAATTTCTTTCAACAGACTTGTAAGGATGTTTAACAAACTTACTTTCCACACAAATTTCATATTTCGACTTATCCCATTTAAATCAGGAAATACTTCTAGATTAACCAATTTTCGCAAGACTTTGTAATTTACATGTCCCAAACGGGCATGCCATAAATCACTTAACTCTAATAAGTAAACAAAAGCAGAATTTTTATTAATATTGTCAATAACCATTACATTTAGTTTTAAAAGATCCTCATTGAGGTAGCTCTTTCCTATGAACATTTCATTCTTACTTATTACAGCTTTATCACTAACTAGGACACACTTAAACCCGTTCTTAACGAGTAGTGCAGCAGAAACTAAATTCTTCCTAATAGTAGGGACATGCAGAACATTGTTTAAAGTCAAAACTTTGCCAGATGTCATTTTCAACATTACTTTCCCGGTTCCTGCAATCCTTGTTGTTGCTGTGTGTCCCATGAATAAATCTTCATCGTACTTAGCAGGAGTGTACATTGCAAAGGCTTCTTTTGCAGAGCAAATATGTCTAGTGGCACCTGGGGTCAAGAAACCATTCCTTGGGATTTCCAACTAAGTTACACTCTGATATCATTGCACACAAGTCATCTGCATCTTCCATCTTTTCCACGATGTTTGCTTGACTTTTGCCTTTGCCTTTGTTTTTGTCCTTTCTTGGAGAATGACAATCAGAAGATCTATGATCTGCCTTGCCACAATTATAATAGTTGCCTTTGATTTCTTCTTGGCCTGTTCTGACTTCTGCCCGTTTGACCTCTTTCTTTTTTTGTCTTTCGTAGGAGCTTCTTCAACAATATTAACTCCAATGATTGTTTAACTCTTATGCGACTTCTTTTCGGCATTTCTTTTATCTTCCTCAATCTTGAGCTGAATCACAAGATCTTCAAGCTTCATTTTTTTACGCTTGTGCTTTAGATAATTCTTGAAATCATTCCACGAAGGAGGCTACTTCTTGATCATTGCAGCCACTTGAAAAGCTTCATTTACTACCATATATTCATCAATCAAATCATGGAGAATAAGTTGAAGTTCCTGCACTTGTGATCTAACAGTTTTACTATCTACCATTTTATAGTCTAAAAACTTTGCGACCACAAACTTTTTCAAGCATGCATATTCTGTCTTATATTTCTTCTCAAGTGCATTCCACAACTCTTTTGAAGTTGTTATTGCACTATATACATTATATCAGTCATCCTCTAAAGCACTCAAAATGTAACCTTTATATAGGATGTCTGACTATTTCCATGCTTCAACAATCATAAATTTTTCCCTGTCTGGCATATCATCAGTAGGAACTGGAGTATCTTCACTTGTAAATTTCTTCAGACCAAGAGTGGTAAGGCAGAAAAATACTCGTTCCTGCCATCCTTTGAAATTCACACCTGTGAATTTACCCGGTTTCTCAACTTGTGATACAAGAGTTCAGGTTGGTGCAGCAACAACCACTGTAACACCAGTGTTTTCCATTTCTGATAAACAAAATTGATACAATATAAGTAAGCAATAAGTTATAATTGCAAACTTAAAGGAGTATAAAATCACAAAGATTTTTGTCTCCACCAGAAACACAAATTTAAATAATTTCTATAAGATTGTTGCCAATCTGTGTTATGAAAATCAGAAATTACAGGTTGTAATAAATCAGTCAGAAACACGAAGTAACTGAGATTTTTAGAACCAGAAAATAAGATGAACAGAAATTTATTTGTAAAAAATAATTGAATCTGTAAAACTTACCAAAATCTGAAATACTCTTTATTTGATAATTTAGGAAGAAAATCAAGTTCACTTAATTCATAGTGTCCCCTTAAGGAAATTATTCCCCTCTAGTATCCGAGGTTTGATTTGGAATATAACCTCCCATGGTAAAATGATCTTAATTAGTAGAGTATAGATATCAAAAACTCTACTGTCATCGAATCAATCCACAGCAGGAAAGTACACAAAGAAATATGTGTTTTTATGAAGAAGGAAGATCAGAAAATTCGTAGGGAAATATTCTGAAGACTGAATGGTATTTATAGGCAAGAAGAATATATTCTGAAAGGTTGCAACCCTTTCAGAATTGACACGACCATTAGTGAAAGGTTACAAACTTTCAAATGGTATTGACTGTTCCTGAAAGTTGCAACCTTTCAGAACAGCCATGGCGGAAATTTTTAAATATAACGGAATTTAAAACGGGTCATGCGCGCGGATCCGAGTCGGTCGGGTTGAATAAAAAGTTGAAAACATTTTGGTCAACTTTTGTTATCAACTAATTAATTGAAAATAATTTTTGTCCATTAAATTAATTAAATAAATAATTAAAATAAATTTGTCCAAAAAATTATCTGTCGATCATTTTCCAAAGCCGAAGCGAGCGAGCGACGACGACGACGGCGCGAGGGGGGTCCCTCTTTCCAACTCTTTTAACAATTAATAGGAGTGTTTATTTATTTAAACTCTCCTATTTGCATTTCCATTACTGATGATGGACTATTTCCTTTTTTCATTAAAACATTAGAGGACTTTTCAAGTTCCCAACCTTTCAAGTTCTAAACTTTTCAAATTCCTCTTCTTCGCTCTATTTCCCATCAATTCTTGCTACATACCCAACAGTTAGCTATCAAAAATTAGTTTATTTTATTAAGTTTTTTTTTTCTCATTTTGACTCTATTGAATAACATCCGAAGACAATAATAAAGAACTTATTGAAAAATTTAAGAAGTGTTCGTATCAGTAAGATAAATTGGTGTAGATGCGCATGTTTATTTTATTGTTTTTACTATTACAGTAAATAGTTATGGTTTAGTTATTTAATTTTGGGACATGATGCAAGAAGTTATGTTGAGATGGTCTGGGTATGTGATGAGGATATGCACAAATTTCTTAATGTAGCGGTATGAGAGGTTTGGTTGTTCATGGATTCAAGAAATGTTAAGGAAGCCTGAAGATGTATTAGGGAGAAGTTATTAGATAGGACATGGCACGATTGCAGATTACCGAGGACATGACTTTAGACATGAAGGTGTGAAGGACAGAGATTAGGATAGAAGGCTAGTGGTTAGGAATGTTTTCATACTATTAGCTACGAGTTTATTGTCTGTCGTCAATTCTTCAAGCTACATTATTACTCGTGTTTCTTGTTCTTCAATTTTTGTTATTTTCATGTAGTTTGATCATAGTTGTAGTATTGTTCTACTACAATTTGTTGATTAATACTAGATTTTTATTTTATTTCCAATACTTCTTTTTTAGACTATTTTTGTTTTGAGTGAGGGTCTATTAGAAACAACTATTCTTCCTTTAAGGTAAAGATATGTCAGCATAAATAATAACCTCCAAAGACCACATTGTGTGGGACTACAGTAGATTTTTTTGTTCATTTTTGTAGTTGATTGTTAATTTGATTGTCATTTTAGATAATTAAAATGCTATTATGTGACGTGGAACTTTGATCTTTTGTGCATTTGTTGTGTTGGTGTTTTATCCTGACTTTTTTTAAAACTTTAATATGGTTGCTGTAATGAACATTTTATTAAATAACATGAAAGTTTCCAAAAAACTAAAATGTAACACAATCCAAAGCAAAGAAAAGGATCGTCCCAAAGTGACCGGCCCATCAACAAATAATTTCAACACAAGCTGGATACGTCACTTCTCCATCTTCATCAATTCCTTTATTTGCCAGAAAAGGAAACCAAAGTTTCCTTTCAATTCCTTACATCACCACTAAAATCCTTATTGTTTAAATTGTTATTCATATGATTTTGTTCCACCACAGTGCAGATTTCAATCTCCATGTTCAAATTCATTTCTCTATGTAGGTTCCGACCATCTTTGAATTCTTCCATTATAGCACTTGAATATATTCTTTCATTAAGCTTTCTTTTTTAAATTGTTGATACCATCAGATCTAGATGCTGCTTTATTCCTCCAATTTTTATGATGATGTTCCTCCTTGATTTATCGGTGAACTTTCTTTTCTTGAGAACACATATCCATTTGATTAAACTGGTTATTTTTGAGCCTCTGAACCCTTCTCTTGCTTTCTGGATTGCATTATTCCTATGTATGGTGAAGCAATAAATTGGTAAAAGCAATAAGTAAACTATTGTTCCTGTTAATTGTCTATTCTTCATGATTTTTGACACTTAGTTCTTTATTCATTGAATATTGATGCCTTCATCCTGCCTAATTTTACATTGATTAAATCTTTTTGTTCTTATCCTCAAATTGACAATTTGTTTCGTGTCTAAGTTGAGAATTTTCTCAGCTTTAGTAGAAAGCTCCATGAAATTAGAATAGTTGAATCTATCAGTTCTTTAAAAAACTAGATTAGCTAGATAGTCAGCCATAGAATTACCTTCTCTATTGGTGTAATTTAAGCTAAACTGAGAAATCTGAGCCATTTCCTTGATGTCTTCTATTACTATTGCAGTTTTCCAGGGAATTACCCAAATTCCTGATAAATTTTTTCTAAGACTAATGAGTCAGTTTCAAAATCAATCCACATGATCCCACTATCAATGCAATGATATATTTCTCCATGGGCATAAAATAGGTCTCACTCATGATTTCATAGACAGAAACTATAAGAACTTCGCCCAGGATTGCCTTAAGAAGCTCGACTTTTGTTTCATTTTAACTTGCCATGCTCTAAGTTGTATCCATCTTACTGTCTTATAGTAAAACTTGGGTTTGTACTTCTCCAAATAGTCCATTAATATTTGCCAGATTCTATGAATCTAACTTCAATTAGGATATATAAATTTGACCATTAATCAATATCGTGTAACATCACACAACTAAGAAATAGAAAAAAAATTTAAATCTGAAAATAATTGGTCTTTGGATAGTGTTGGGAAATCTGGAATATTTGTCTAAGTTAGGAAAGTGAATTCTGGTCATTTTCAAACAACCATAGCTCCTACGGTTGAAAATTCCTAGTAATAATCTTTTCAACGCTGTCGAGTTTGCACGATTTTGAGTTCGGACAAATGAGTTATGCGCTTTAGAAGTTGGGTTGTTGGATTGGGGAAGTGCCCAATCAAGGATTGTAAAGGGTATTTTAGTATTTTTCACTACCCTATTAATTTAATCCATTTGTAGGAATTTAATATGGGTCAAGAATGAATTTCGTCAGTTTTAGAAGTTGGGAATTATTATGCTAGGTTTAAGGAGAAAGGAGAAGAGAAGAAGAAGAAGAAGAAGAAGAAGAAGAAGGGCAAGATTCGCCAAAATCATCAAATCAACTCGTGCATTTCGTTGGGGGTGATCCCTAAAACGGTATGTGGGGCTGTATCATCGTTGGGCTTGTTAACCCACGTGTCTAGCGTGTTTGATTCAACATGTTTTCATCCTAAAAGATTGGATTTTGAATGTTCTTGAATTGCTTTCGTTCTTGAACATGACTTGAGATTTAAGAGTTCTTTGATGATATAAGTTGTGTTCTTGAATTCATTAAGTTAGATCATTGTATATATGATGTGAGTATATAAATCTAAGGTGAATTTGAGAAAATCGAATTAGAATGATTTAAGGTCAGGAAAACGAGATGGAAATTTGTCATGCGTCACCTAGGCAGATCCAGGCACGACGCACTCAATATGTGCCAAAGAACATGGGGTTACGCGCGTGCAGTGTACTAGAATGAGGCCTCAGAACTTGAGGCCTGGCACGACACGCCCAGAACATGCCCAAATCAATGTTTTACCAGTTTTCGTAAAACGATCTGATTAAGCCCTTGTAAAGTGTTTTAGCACTTCCTAACGATTCTAACCACTCTAAATGAATTCTAACCATATAGAAATCACCCAGAAACATGAACTACAACCTTGAATCCATAACTTCAAAATCAAGGAAAGTTTAGAGCAAAGTTTAGAATGTTCTTAAAGTCCTTTCAAGAAGTCTTTTATAGATAGTTTTAAACTTGTTTTTAGACTAAAAGATCAGGCTGAGTAAAGAGTAAATATAAGAAAAATAAGAAGTTCATTTAAATTTATAAATCTTTCAAAAATGTTTTAATCTCGTTTTAAGACTAAAGTTTGAGTTCAGTTCAGAGCGAAGTGAAGTTTTTTCTTCATAGCAATATATGAAGACTAAGTATTCCCAAAGCAATATAAATATGTTTTCACATTTTAAAAGAATGGAAACTGAGATTTTCAAAGAGCCTTCGGGCTAGTATTTAGTAATAGAGTAATAGCTTTCTAAACTGAGATCCTAAGATATCTTTTGAGCTATGTATTTGAGAACTAATATCAAATCACAGAAGCAGTATGTTTTAATAACATAAGAGCCAGTATAGTTAGGGATTAGTAATGAGGAATGATATGGGGGGGGGGGAGTTCAGAAAACTCACGGCCCCTATAAACCATGTATCCACCATGAGTACAAAAGGTTCATACTTTATAGATGATCCCTTTTCAAAGTATACTAGTGGATCCATAAGACAGGTTAGGTCTTATAGCTTTGGCCGGGTATAGGATGTTCTGTCAACATGAGGTAGATCAATGTATCATCACTATAGCTCGTTAAGTGATGGTTTTCGGTTGGTGAAACTCCCTTAAAAATTAAATGTATTTCTATATGCACATCAGTTTATTTGTGTTTTTACATACATATGAGATTCAATTATATCCTTGTACACATTCAGAGTTCAAAACATGTTTTCAAACAACTTTTCTTTCACTTGCTTTTAAATTGCTTTCTATTAAAATTAGTTAGTTATATTGAGTTATGTAGGATGCTTTAATGTCGGATGTACGATTGGGAGAGTCTTCTACTTCGCTTAAGCACTTACTAGACAATCTTACCATTGCTATTCGTAAAGGTGCTAGAACTATTGCCCATTAAATTCCGTTTTGTCCTTATTTTTGAGTTATTATCGTCTGTCACAATTGTATTATTCCTTCATTACTAGCTTATCAACAATCAAAGTTCCCAAGACTTTGGCAGAAGAATTGGTTTATCCAGGTTGGAATCAGACTATGATTTTTGAGATGACTACATTGCATGGTAATAGTAATGTTGAGCTTATTTCCTTACCAGAAGGAAAAACAACAATTGGTTGTCATTGGATATTCTTTGTTATGATACATTATATGAAGCTATTGATCTTTTCAAAGCGAGCTTGATTGCTAACAGACACAGATATATGACATTGATTATGAAATTTTTTTAATTGTTCCTATGATGGCATTCGTCCATATTCTTAATGGACCCCTTTTTTCAAATGAACATAAAAAATGTATTTCTACATTGAGAACTTATTGAAGAGGTATATATGGAGAAACCAACAGGATTTGTTGCTGAGGACAACATAGACTAGTTTGTAAACTTCGTCAATATCTCTATGGTCTCAAGTCATCTCACAGAGCATGGTTTGTTCATTTCTATCTATTATCCAACAATGTGGAATGATCCGAATATAAGCTAATCACTATATATTCTATAGGCATTAACAATTTGGGAAACATACATTTTTTATTGTTTATACTGAAGATATTGTTATCATATATAATGATAATGAAGGTATTGCTCATCTCAAAGAACACCTATCATGTCATTTTTCACACAAAGGATTTAGGCAAGCTGAAATAATTTCTAGGCACTGAAGTAGCACAATCAAACCATGGTATTTCTATTACACAAAGGAAACATGCCTTGGATATTTTGGAAGGCACTTTTATGTTGGTTTGTATTGGCTATCCCGTTGACTTAATATTAATCTTATTACATAAGAAGTTGAGCCTCTAAAAGCTCCTTAACGATCTTGGAGACTTGTTAAACTCAACAATCTTAAGATCATGCGAATATACATCTCATTTTTAGTTAGTATAGTCAGTCAATTTTGCAATCACTTTGTCATAGTAACTTGAACTGTTGGTACTTACCGTATATCCACTTCTATTTGTGCTCAAAGTGAATTTCTTTTATAGCCTATGAATTCTATGTTAATCTTATCTCAGTATTCATACAAGATCAATGAAAGCACAATAATTTCTTTTATATGTTATTTTTTTAAATTTAAATTACTATAATAATATATAATGCATTCTACATTAAGTGTTGCATTAGTAAAAAGAATTGTCAAAAAGTAAGTATCACAGGAAGAACTCAAGATTTTTTATAAAGTATTTGTACTATTGTGAATGTCTATCATGTGGAGTCCTTTTTAGGATATGGTTAAAGAGTCCTCCTACTTGGGGACCAAGTTAGATTTCTCATATAAATAGAGTGCTCCTCTTCATTGTATATTAATTCATCAAGAGAAATAAAAAGTCTTCTCTTCTTTGCTCTGTAGTTTCTTCTTCTTATCTTATAGTTTTATAACACGTTATCAGCACGAGACTCTAATTTCTCAAAAGTGAAGGTTAGATTTGAAGAATTAATAGAGATATGGATAATTTAAGAGCATATTATCGAAATATGAAGATATTTGTTTGATTAATTCTAGTACAACACATACGATGTTCATAAATAAGAAATTTTTTTCTCATTTAAGTATGGGTAAAATAAATGTTACTATAATTTTTGGTAGTATTAATATGATTGAGGGTTTTGGAAGAGCCATGTAATTTTGCCCAAGGGAACTAAACCCATCACTAATAATGCTATGTTTTCTCCAAAATCTAAGAGAAATTTGTTGAGTTTTAAAGATATCCGTGAAAATGGTTATCATATCCAATCAATGGATGAAATAAATCTTTAATATCTTGGTATCACCAAGAATGTCTCTGGGTAGATATGTGTTATAAAAAAGTTCTCTGTCTTATCTTCTAGATTGTATTGGACAAAAATTAGTGCAATTGAGACACATTTTATAGTAAATAAGAAGTTTACTAATTCCAATACATTTGTACTTTGGCATGATCGTCTAAGACATCCTGGGTCAATAATGATGAGACGAATTATAGAAAATTCGAATGGACATCCACTAAAAGACCTGAAAGTTCTTTTAAATGGTGAATTTTCTTGTACTGCTTGTTATCAAGGCAAGTTAATTGTGAGACTATCACCAATGAAAGTTAATATTGAATCCCCTGCGTTCTTAGAACGTATACATGGAGATATTTGTTGCCCTATTCACCCACCTAGTAGGTCATTTAGATATTTTATGGTTCTAATAGATGCTTCTTCTAAATGGTCTCATGTGTGCCTATTGTCATCTAGTAACTTGGCATTTGCAAAATTATTGGCACAAATAATAAGGTTAAGGGAACCGTTTCCTGATAATCAGATTAAGTCCATTCGTCTTGATAATGTTGCAGAGTTTTCATCCTAATCATTTAATTATTATTGTTTCGCAATTGGGATAAGAGTTGAACACTCTGTTGCTCATGTTCATACTCATAATGGTCTCGCTGAGTCATTAATTAAACGTTTGCAATTAATAGCAAGACAATTGCTTATCAAAACTAAGTTGCCCACTTCTGTGTGGGGACATGCAATTTTGCATGTTGCAACACTTCTTCGTCTCAGACCGACAAGTTATCATACGGTTTCTCCATTGCAATTGGTTATGGGTCAAAAACCTAATATATCCCATCTAAGAATTTTTGGAAGTGTTGTACATGTGCCTGTGACACCACTAAACCGCACTAATATGGTCTCTCAAAGAAGGTTAGGAATATATGTTGGGTTTGAGTCGCCCTCCATTATCCTCTATCTCGAACCATTAACTGGAGACATGTTAACTTCTAGATTTGCAAATTGTCAGTTTGATGAGACAATTTTCCCAAAATTAGGGGGAGAGAATAGTGAAATAAAATGAGAAATTTTGTGGAAAAATTTATCATTGTCTCATCTTGATCCATATTCTTCTACTTGCGAACAAGAAGTACAATAGATTATTCATCTGCAGAAAATTACAAATCAAATGACAGGCGCATTTACAGATTTGAAAGGGATTACTAAATCACATATTCCTGCAGAGAATGTCCCAATTCGAATTGATGTTCCTAAAGGATCATCCACTAGTGTCACAACTAATGAGTCAAAAACACACCTAAAGCGTGGTAGACCATTGGGGTCTAAGGATCAAAATCCTAGAAAAAGAAAGATTAAATGTCAATATGAAATTATGAAAGAATCTCATATGGAAGTTCAAAATTTGAACAAGTCTGATATTCATGAAAGAATCAAGGAACTTGAAACTCAAGGAAATAATGAACTATCCATAAATTTTAGAGATGTTGAAACTAATATGAATCGATCAGAAATAGTGATTGATTATGTCTTTGCATATAATGTTGTAACAAATATCATGCAAGATAATGAGGATCATGAACCTCAATCTGTTATAGAATGTCGACAACGAAATGATTGGCCAAAATGGCAAGAAGTAATTCAATCAGAGTTGAATTCACTTGCCAAGCTTGAAGTTTTTGGACCTATAGTTCAAACACCTAATGGTATTAAACCTGTTGGTTACAAATGGATTTTTGTGCGAAAAAAATGAGAAAAATGAAATACAAAGGTATAAAGTACGCCTTGTGGCACAAGGATTTTATCAAAGGCCTGGCGTCGACTATGAAGAGAAATACTCACCCGTTATGGATGCAATAACATTGCGTTATCTCATTAGTTTCACAGTCCATGAGCAACTTGAAATGCATTTGATGGATGTGCTTACAGCCTTCCTTTATGGATCACTTGATAATGAGATATACATGAAAATTCCTGAATGATTTCCGATGCCTAAATTATGTAATTCAAAATCTCGAGAAATGTATTCAATTAAATTGCAAAGATCATTATATGGTTCGAAGCAATCTGGGTGCATGTGGTATAACTGTCTTAGTGAGTATTTAACTAAGTAAGGTTATACAAATGATGCAATTTGTCCATGTGTCTTTATAAAGAAAACAATATAAAAATTTGTTGTACTTGCTATTTATGTTGATGACATAAATCTTATTGGAACTCCAATAGAGCTTCAAAAGGCAATTGATTATTTAAAGAATGAATTTGATGAAAGATCTGAGAATGACAAAATTATGTCTTGGTTTGCAAATTGAGCATTTGACAAATAATATTTTTGTTCATCAATCTGCCTACACAGAAAAAGTGTTAAAAATATTATGTATGGATGAAGCGCATCCATTAAGTACTCTGATGGTTGTTCGTTCACTTGATGTGAAAAAGGATCCATTCCGACCTCAAGAAAAGGATGAAGAAATTCTTGATTCTGAAGTACCATATCTTAGTGCAATTTGTGCAGTAATGTATCTTGCTAATACTACGAGGCCTTATATAGCTTTTGCTATTAACTTGTTTGCAAGGTATAGTTCTTCTCCTACTAGGAGACATTAGAATGGGATCAAACACATTTTGCGATATCTTAAAGGGACAACTGATATGGGCTTATTTTATTCTGTTAATTGTAGCCCAAATCTTGTTGGTTATGCTGATGCAGGATATTTATCTTATCCACACAAAGCTTGATCCCAAACATGCTATGTGTTTATATGTGGGGGGACTGCCATATCATGGAGATCTACAAAGCAGTTCATCGTAGCCACTTCATCCAATCATGCTGAAATAATAGCTATTCATGAAGCAAGTAGAGAATGTGTGTGGTTAAGGTATATGATACATCTCATTCGAGAGAAATGTGATTTTGAATGTGATAAAGTACCCACAACTTTATATGAAGATAATGCAGCATGCATAGCACAACTTAAGGGAAGATTCGTAAAATAAGATAGAACAAAGCATATTTCACCAAATCTTTTCTATATACATGAACTTCAAAAGAATGGTGATATAAATGTGCAACAGATTCGTTCAAGTGAAAATGTTGTTGATCTATTCACCAAGTCTCTACCAACTGCAACTTTCAAGAAGATGGTGCACAAGCTTGGAATGTGAAGATTCAAGTCTCTGGATTGATGTTCTCATTAGGGGGAGTTAATACGCGCTGTACTCTTTTTCTCTTATGAGGTTTTGTCCCACTGGGTTTTACTTGTAAGGTTTTAATGAGGCAGCCTAGATGCGTATTAATAGATATGTGTACTCTTTTTCTTTACTAGAGTTTTTCTTTCTTAAAGTTTTTTTAGTAAGGTTTTTGGCGAGGCACATCATCTATGAATTAGACATTCAGGGGGAGTGTTATAAAGTATTTTTATTATACTAAATGTCTATCATGTGGAGTCCTTTTTAGGATATGGTTAAAGAGTCCTCCTACTTGGGGACCAAGTTAGATTTTTCCAATAAATAGAGTGCTCCTCTTCATTATAAATTAATTCATCAAGAGAAATAATAAGTCTTCTCTTCTTTTCTCTCTAGTTTCTTCTTTTATTTTATAGTTTTATAACAAGATTAAAATATAATGTTTTTGAACTGTACACTTGTATTAAACAATTGTTTCTTTTAAAAAGTATTTAGTATTAAAAAAAGATCTAAAAATAGGGGTAACTTATAAAACTATATAGAAAAATTCTTATTTTTCTAAATACAC